ATGCTGAAGGCGTCTGGCTCGAGGTATTGCGCCTTCTACAATCTGCGCCAGTGGAAGAATCGCTGTCGTCCCTTCTGGAAGCAGCTGGGCACCGAGATCATCAAGCAGGAGGCGAACAACATCTACTGCCTGCTCGAGGAGGAGAATGAGGATCCCAAGACCGTGGCCGACTTCGTTGACCTGGAGAACGAAACCTTCAAGGTCGAGGAAGGTGACATTTTGTGATTCGACTCACCGGGTATATACATACATATATATACGACTATATATACTCTTCAGAAAAATTGTTATTGTTGGTTAAGTCAAGCGACAAGTCAGCTCAAGAGCTAGCACTTAGGGCTGCACTCAAATCTCTCTCTTTCTCTCGATGATATATCCATTTCGGTTCGGGGCAGTTTCAGTGCAGTCCCCAGCGCAGCCGTGAGCTAGGCTTTGTTGCGTCCAATAAAATGTTTCGATATATTCGCTCAGCAAAAAGCAAAAATATGTTCTTCGAATTCCTCTTGCTCCTGTGACAGTTACAAATTGGTGGCACTAACAATAACCTGGCAGCCAGGACGCAGCCACAGCCACAGTCGCAGTCGCAGTCGTAGTTGCAGCAAAAATTTGCCGACTGCGCCGCAACAAATGTTGCAGATGCATATGGCAAGCAAGGTTCGTGCCGCGGGTGGCAGCCTTTGTAAATTGGCAATGTAATGCAAGTCGCAATGCAATAAATCCCCCACACAACATGCCGGCGAAACATTCTGAAAACATTTTCGAACTGCATATTTATCATGCCACACAGACGCATGAGGCACACACACGCCCACGCAATAGCTGCGCTGTGACTGTTACTGGAAAATATTAATAAAACTCTGAATTGCAACAAAAGCCTTGTCTGTTGAGGTAGCAGCCATCAAATTGAGCTGCTGCAAGTAATTGCGCTGCATAAATAATACATTTGTTTGAAATTTAGCGCGAAAGTGAAGAGCAGAGCGCAGATTTCAATTAACTTAAATTGGATGTTTCAAGTAACCTAGAGAGAAGGAGGGAGAGAGGAAGAAAGAGGGGGACTGAGGTTTTCGAAACACAATTCTGGCAAAGTGTTTTGTGAAATATGTATTAAGCAGGGTCTACCGAATACTTGAATTTGAATTGTTAAATTATGTAAGAGGCAGCCATTATTACCAGACAATATTCTACGAAAGCGAGGACTATATAATGGATGTATTCTGTAATGTGAAATTTGTCAAGAATTCAAATAATTAGTATATGTGATTATATAATTTAATATATGTACTCTCTACAAGTAAAGAAAAAGTAAAGTGAAGTTAAAGAGAGGGAATGTGGCAGATGAGAGAATAACATATAGAATAGAAGCCTATAGCGTGCTTTAGTCACAATATATTGCTGCGCAGCGTAATTTATTTTATTTATAACTGCTATCATTAGCTCTTAATCTATTGCTATGGTTTTGTATATTAAGAATGGTCGTAAATAACTCTCGCTGCTCGACCGTAGTCCACTTCAGGAGGAGGCCATCAATAACATATTCAAGCTTGAGCAAGAGCATCTACTATTGGAGCCTAAATATTAATTTAAGTTAATTAATTCGACAGCAGCAATCACACTTCACTATTTTTTATAACAACTTCACATACACAATATATTCGACAATGTTGAAATTCAAGTTATATTATAAATAGAAACTAAGGAAAATAGTTAAATTTACCCTAGATTATATTTTAATTGATTTCCCTTTAAGTTTTTGATGAAAAACTATTTCGTTGCAATTCTTCATGTTTCTATTACTATTATAAAATAAAATAATTTAACAACTTTTCTTAANATGAGAACTTAATTGTTTAATAACTTTTTTTATGGACGTACGATCTTCATGAAACTTTCAGATTATGATTATAACATGGATATGCATGTAATTGCCAAAGCACAAGTCTCTAGTATTTGAAATACGCTTTTTACAAAAGTGAGGGTGAGGGGGTGAATTTAAGGGTGGGGGGTAAATTTTAACAAAAACCGAAATTGTATAAATTGCATATAAGCATACATTAAAAATTTGGAGACTCTAGCAATAAAGGTGTAGAAGATATAATTTTATAACTGGTTTTCGATAAGGTTTTTTATCGATAAAAAAAGATCGGGATGAGTTATCGAATTTTAATGATAAACTTGATATGCGCGCTGTAATTACGGACATTTTACAAAAAATTTGAAGTCTCTAGCTCTTATATCTTCTGAAATCGACGCGTTCATACATACGGAAAGACGGACAGACGGACAGACAGACGGACAGGGCCAAATCAACTCAGCTCGTCACCCTGATCAAGAATATATATACTTTGTGGGGTCTGCCACGCCTCCTTCACCCTGTTACATACATTTCAACAAAACCATTATACCCTGATTTCCCATTGAAAATGGGTTCAGGGTATAAAAAAAAAAATTACACCCTGATTTGTCATTGAAAATAGGTACAAAAAAATTTTATAAATATTTTTAATAAATTCAATTAGTATTGCATATTGGTATAAAATTTAACGAACAATTACCCTATAGTAAAAATCATAATAAATAATAAATCCAGTTAAATAAACTCCAAAAGGAAAAATTAAATATATACCTTATCGAAAATTCGTAATCAAATTTTTTTTAAATGTAGTTTAAAAGTAAACATATATGCGTATTTACAAATACATACATATATATTTACATACTCATACATATAAATTTGTTGTTTATTTTATTATTGCCTGATTTTTTAAATGTGTTATATTTATGAAAAGATGAAAGAATTTAACATTTAATACTTCTTCTTCTTCTACGAGGGTAAAAACTTCGGCCGGACAATGCCTGCAGGTATTATGGATTTATAAAGCTGCAATAATACGGTAGTTCTTGTTGTTTGCCCGCAAAAGTCAACCCTTTCCCATTTTCGGACCGAATATTTCGGTATGTTTTGGCGCTGGGGGGAAAAGTTGCTGCTGCTGAGCTGAGCAAAAGTTCGCAAATGAAAACAAATGCCTAAAGTTGCTTAATTAAAATGAAAATAAAAAATGAAAAGTGAAATATGGAAAATGGGATGTGAGAAGTGGAAAGCGGAAAGTGGGAAATAGGAAATGAGCAACACTTCACTCGCTACTATTTTTCTGCAAATTTCCTGTGCAGCAGCAGTGGCAATTAAATGAAGAATGTGAAGCCAAGGACTGTGGCCTTTTCGACAGAGAATCCTTGCGGTGAATGCACACAAGTGTCACACACGTAATCCTGCGCAACGAAAGTCTAGTCAAAGCAAAGTTCTGCTTAATATATATGTGCTCAGACGCTGCGCTGCCAAATTAAAACAGAATTACAAAACAGCAAATTAGCCCTAAACTATTAGAAACATTTATATAATATGCCGCTGCCTCTGCCGCTACCTCTGCCGCCGCCTTTGCTTCCGCCTCTGCCTCTACTTTAGCAACACACGGCGTATACGTAACTTTCGTATGATATAGCAATTTGGCTGCCTCGTTCAATAGTGCGCTAGAACTTTATACAACTTTGTCAATTAAAACTTTATTGCTCGAGGCGAGTGAGTTTCGCATAGCTCGCGAAATAATACAGCCACCAGATTGAATTCGCTTTCGAACCGACCTACAAATTATTCCCATTGTATATTAATTGTTCTACAGAGTATTATTATGAGGTTGTAGCAGGTGCAGCAACACCCAATTCGAGATTTAGCCAACAAGAACTCCCCAGCCCTAACAGTAATAAAATATTTAAACTCTGATTTGGAATGCATAACAATTTCCATGTATTCCTTTGGGTATCACACCTAAAAATACAAAGTAAAATAAATATCAAAGTGCATTTATTGTGATTCGCAATAATTTTCATTGGATTCAATATACATCGTCATTCGCTTGAATCAACTTTGAAAGTATTTCCGCCACTTGGAAATGGGTAACTTCAAAACGAGCTGCCTTAGGACTTCTCCAAAAATAAATCTGGACTGTAAAGCGGATGACCGCCCAATTCGACTTCTGAGCCCGATGAGCGACGATGCGTGAGCTCTCGCATTATCTTAGTGACGAATGACTCGGCTGCGGCAGTTGGCATTGCCCAATTCTCCGAAAACTTTGTTCAAACAAATTGACTACTCGGCATAGAATCTTTTATGTTGCTCTAGTGGGACACATTTGCCTTGAGGTTCCTTGAGGCTCTTCTACGAACAAGCTTTGTTGGATTAACTCAATTTCCACTAGCCAACACGGGTTGATGGGCCGAATGAATTATTCAACTCACAAGTAAAGATTGCAAATGAAAATAATGTCAAACTTTTCTGTGCAAATATCAAATTACAGTTCATCTCACGGAGTTTTACAAAGCTACAATATATAAATAGGCTAACGGTTCGATATGGGAAACACTTATACAGATATTTACAATTAATAACCTTTAATTAAAAAAATGTTGGCATATTTATTATATATGAAAAAAATCAGTTTTCACATTAGTTTAATATGTTCTTATTCTACAATAAAGTGTTTTGGAATGGCAGATCTTATAAATTAATTCTCTTAGGTATAAAGAATGTCGTACATTTTATTTTAATAATGCATTGAGAACTTTAAGATTATAATGGAAAGTTTACAATTTTAGAAGCAGAACAAAAAATAAAATCACAGCTAAAAATAATTTGTTGGCTTTTAATTTTTATGGATAGTAAACAAATAATTTGATGTTTATTCATTTTTTTAGTATTTTTTTTTTTTTGTTGACTAATAAACTATTATAATAACTTAGGAAATCCAAAAGATTTAGGTAGATATTTAATAATTTAAATTGCCGCCTAATAAATCTATCAAATGGGCTGAGCAATGTCACAAATGTTTATATATATTTTAACTATATACTGCAATGCAGCTGCTGTTATTGTTGGTGAATATTGTTAAATGTAAGTCTTGGCAGCTTTAATAATCCGCTATGAATAGGCGCTTATATCAAGTAATTCTTAGTGCTTACACATCGCCATCATTGCTGGAGATTTGCCGCTTCTGACGGTGTCAATATCTTGAAGTATCCATTGACTAGATAAATTTGGGGCTCATCCGGTCCAGTTCCATCCGGATTGGTCTTCCAGCTGATGGTCAGACAGGGCTCGCCCGGCCGCGGTGCTTTTGGCACAGATATTTCATAGTTTTTCGCATGCTCTGGTCTCAGATTGTTCTGAATGAGAATCAGGGACTGCTGGGCCTCACTCCCAGGCACAGCGACATCCGGCACTATAAATTTGACATTTGATGTATTGCCTAGAGTCAACTATTTCTACTCACTCGGGTGACTCCAAACGGAGACGAGCAGCAACAGCAGCAGCAGCGACGGCAACTTGTGCAATGTTTTTGTTGATTTCATAATTTTGATTTTGATTCAGAATTTATAAACAAAGCGCTACAACTGAGCGGAACTGCAGCAACAACAACAACTGAATAGAAGCGTTTGATTTGTTTTATATACTAGATGCTGCACGCGTCACTATATATACATACACAGATATATATATACTTATAGTTAGGGCACTCGTATTATCAAGCAACGTCTTGAAACAGAGAAATCTCAGCTCGAACTGTGCGATGTTCGAGTGCTTCAAGTCGAGGCAACTCGAATCGTATTGCTCTTTGATAGTCTTCCACTTGTGCTCTCTTTATTCCCTCTCGCTCAGTCTATATCTCTCTCTGTCTCTGCCTGTGTCTGTCTCTGTGTCTGTCTCTGTCTCTGTCTCTGTTAGTGCTCCTCACCTGGATGAGTGCTATTTAGCTTGTCTGGCTTATCAACTTGCCGTTAGGCTTGAATGAATCAATTGCTTATACATATGTATGTGTGAATGTACTCTTGTCTGAGGGGAGATTGTCAACTCGAGTTGTAAACAAAGAACGTATCAATATCAATTGCTGATAGGCAGCGCTCAAGGGAACATGTGTGTGTGTGTGTGTGTGCGGCCACTGCTGAGGTCAGAGATTCGGACCACCTACAAACTGGGCGAGCACTTGTGCAATGCAGCTGACATTTGATTTATAATTAAGTGTCTTTCATAAGTATAAATGACAAACATTTGTTTAAGCATTGCACTAATTTATTCAACTCTTTCTCAATTATAACGGCTTGGCGATCAAATATAGACTTGTATTTTCAGCATGATCTTAGTGCTCAATGCTCACTCATGCTTAAATAGTAAATATTCATATATGATTCATTCAAATCACATTTATGAAATAATTTCTTAAATAAAAAACTTTTGATTGCTTAAAAATAAAATTTAAATGAAACTGTGCTAAGTGTAACCTGTCATAGTATAACAGTTTCGGACTGTACTTAGGACTGCTTGCTTGTGTATGAAACTAAACTGCTTGGCCTACACTGTTTTTCCAAGCAGTGTTCGTATTAGATTACTTCGGTATTTTCGGTTCGGTAAATGAGCGTCGCACGAATGTTTTAACTAAAGACGCTCAACAGAAATGATACACGAAAAAACCCGAAGTCTTTCGCCCAAAGAGAGAGATAGAGTGCTTCCGCGATCAGGGCGTAAAGGGTAAAAAGTCAACTCTTATGTGTTATCTATGGTATTTAGTATTTATTAATACCGCAATGTATATTTCTTGAATACGCTGCTGGAGTTTTTTAGTATTTCGGACTCTTTGAAATCACAAGTGTTAAATTCAAATTTACACAAAACTTTAATTGTGTAAACTCACTAACCAGAGAACACATAGACTAGACATCTAGAACAAATTTTTTACCGACGAAAAAATGCGTTGAGGAGACTACACAACTTCGTATTTGCTCGGCTCAGTCTCTTGAGGCTCAAGCAGTGAAAATATTGCACGACAAAATCAGTTTGCTGCAAGCGCTCAAACGAAATGGTGCCATTGTTATATGAAGCACGGCTATGCGCTATTTGTCCTACTCTCTCTCTCTCTCTCTCTCTCCATGGCCTCTCAAATAGCAGCAGCGCACAGAAATTGAAAATTGTTCGCGACGATCCCAGCTCTTTCCTTTTGAGTGAAGGGTATACCGAAATTATAAAAGCGTTTGTCACGCTCATGCAAGCAACATGTAAGCGTTTCGATGGTTATTCGTGGGAAGGGTNGAGAGAGAGAGAGAGAGAGAGAGAGTAGGACAAATAGCGCATAGCCGTGCTTCATATAAGAATGGTACCATTTCGTTTGAGCGCTTGCAGCAAACTGATTTTGTCGTGCAATATTTTCACTGCTTGAGCCTCAAGAGWCTRAGCCGAGYAAATACGAAGYTGTGTAGTCTCCTCAGCGCATTTTTTCGTCGGTGAAAAAATTTGTTCTAGATGTCTAGTCTATGTGTTCTCTGGTTAGTGGTAAACTACAGTGCACTGCTTGCATTCACAAAAGGCTGGTATAATTCGTACAGTATTTTCAGAATTTTAAAATTTGGTATTTTTATTCTAAACTCTTCTGGCTACTCTGCTAAAACTCTTAATTGGGCGCCAATTCAAATAATTGTATGCAAGCCAAACGAAATATTTTAACAGAAATTAGAAAAAAGAACAATAAAGTTAAATACATAAGAAAGATACATTAAAAAGATTTATACAATATAATTTTGAATACTACTTTGACTAAATTTCCAGCTAGTAAGTAAAATGCATTATCAAATCATTATTTTCTTCTGTATTAATAGTTTATTATTTAATTTGCATTTAATTTATTTAATCTGTAACTTACAGCGAAAAACATTAAACGTATTCGTAAACAAACAAGCTTAATTGTAGTATGTATTTTATGTATCATGTAACTTTAGCAACAATTGCTTATATTATACATTGCAAATAATGGAAATTACGTCTAAATCGTTACAAAGTCGGAAAAGTATATCTTTGCTATTCGCTCTGTAGCATGTGGATATGGGGAGGGGGTCGCGGGAGAGACTGGGTCTTAAGGACACTTTGAGAATGGTTAACAATATATATTTAATAATATACATATGCCAAAACAAAATGTCAAATACAAATTAAACTAACTTATTTGACTCTGCCCTTGGACGGAAACCGTTGCATACCAAATTGCTATTAACAATTTTTAAAGACGAACAGAAAAAGAAGAAGAGATAAATTGGCTGCCTCCTTTGTTAAGCAAAAACAAATGAACTTGGAAGACAAATGAAAACAATTTGTTTATGCAAATTCCAATTCAATTTGTTGGATTTCAAACAGAATCTTGAAACTCTTCTATTGGTTTTATGTTGCGTGAAGTGTCGATTTGTGTTTTCTTGTGTTGGTGTTGCTACAGTACACAGTCTTTGTAATTGTTTTTGTTGCTGTGGTTGTGTCTCTCATATTTCAAGTTGTTGAACATAGGAATCGATTTTGGATTCCGATCATGTTGGGTTTAGGGTTCCGTCGTTAAACCTTCTAAACCTCCGTGCTGTGCGTCTGAATGCGAACTTTCTTCACGCTTCCATTGCGCCGCATTGGCGGCGAGTTGCCCGATCCAGAATATCCTGGATTTTGTATGCCCAGCGTTGGATCGGGCCTGGGTCGTGGCTTCTTCAAGCTCGACCGCAACGGGGAACGAGTCACCGAGTCCAGCGTGGAGCCGTTCGAAACGCTCGTCACAGTCGTGCTCATTGAAGCCACACTGCCAGCGGTTCCAGCCCCGTTTCTGATGCCGCTGTATGGCTTGCCCGAGGCATCGGTCATCGAGACGCCGTTGCGATTGCGCGGCTCCTTGAAGCCCGGATTGTTGAAGGTGGTGGCACTCGCCGGCGAAGAAGCGTCCAGCGTCATTGTGGGATCGCCACCAGGGGTGCGCGAGAAGATGACATCATACAAGGCGGCCACAAACAGCGCAATGGATAATACAATCACGACTATCTGCAAGACGAAAGCAAACCGATTTTAATGTCAGCCAATAATCAATGTAATGGAATTACTCACCTGTATGTAGAAGGATATGCCACGCGATATCTTGAAACCGAAACGCTCCTGTTCATCGATCTGTAGTGCAAACAGCACTGTGGCTATTATAGCCAATAAGCCTGGGTAAGGAGAACAAATTGACATAAATGAATAGGGTATTGCTTTTGGGTATGTATTGAGCTATATATGCTTACCGCCCAGCAGGGCCAATATCAGTTTGGCAATGACCAGTGATGTGTAGGACATGACAACCTTGTCACGCGACGAGATCATCGCGTGCTGAATCACCGACAGGATGCAGAAGATGCCCAGCACAGCACAGCTGAACACTGCCAAGAGTCCGCTGATAAATACTGCATCTGAAATAAACATGGAATATATCGAATAATTAATAATATTAGAAAATGATTAAGAACAAGAGCGAAGTCAAAGCGTATGAAAAGAAATAATTTTAAATTGTTTTCCTAAAAAATTCTATACAAATTTCATAATTCATTCATTCAAAATTTTAAACAAATTTAATATATCAAAACTAAAATAACTTCATAATTTAAAAATATATTGCTCTGAAGATAAGAAATAATAAGAATATTAGCTATACTTATAGTTATACATTTGACACTCGAAATTAAAGTCTCGTTTGATTCATATATATACTCACTGCTCAGCCGGAACTTGGAGACATCGTTGCCGCATTTCTCGCGATTGTAAGTCAGTTGCTTGCACACTTTGAAGGGGCCGAAATAGCCGCGATCATAGTCATAGCCACCTGTGGAGAGGATAGTGAGTAAGTAATACAAATCATATACTCTACTAAAGTCCATATCAGTACCCACCAGATGGACTGTCGTAGTAACCCCAAATGGGTATGCCAATGGCGACAGAGGCCAAAGCGAAGCACACAAACCCCAAGCAGGTCACCCCAGCAACATAAAGTGTCGATGTGGCCATAGTTTACTGTACAGCATAACGACTGACGATGCCTTGCTAGTGTATGCCCGCTAAAGACTGAGATCCAGGGTATCCAAGTGCCAGCTGCTGCAATGAGAGTGAGAGGGAAAGGTAGAATGCTAGAGTAAATATGTACACGACTTTCAGTTGTTGCAAAATATTCCATAAGTAAACAACAAATTTGGTCTCTCAATTAAACAGTTATATAATGCATACGTATAGTATATATGGTATGCCATAGATGTATTCCGCTTTGACCTGGACCCAAACCCAATGACAGTTGGCTGATTATGCAGTCATTTCCCCGCCCCATGTGGGCGCCAGGCCAAAGGCATAATAATCCAATATTTGGCATTGTGATTATAGAGCATCCAGCACTAAGTGGTCCCACTTGGCGCTGCCGCACATCATATGTATTTGTATATGTATATGTACTCATCATACGTCTGACAAGGCCCATAAGTCGGTTGACGAACAATTAGATCTCATTCATACATAAAGAGCTACTTGCCGCTGACCTTGAAATGCGGAAAAGCTTACGCAGAAGTGACTCGTCGGCTCATTGTGCGATATGGAGATGCCTCGATATACACGTCCACGTCGCCATTGGGGGCACGTGTGGGCGGACGGTCGGTCGTATGGCTTGTGCATTTGGCAGATAACTGAACTTGAATCCAGCCAGAGAATGGCACAGTTGTCTCTGGCAAAACTGGGCGACAACAACTGTGGCTACATGGCAAATATTTGCGCTTTTAAGTAAGCCGTTTTAATTTCCTGCCATTAAAAGCCAATTAAAAGCAGCTGAAATTGATCTGTCTCTCAATATCCGAGGCAATCAATCAAARTTTTATTGACTAGCTGTTTAAATGTTGACGAAGTGAAACCTAAGCGTTTCTACGATTTAAATTGACATACACAACCTACATGTGATCACAATTTTAAACAGTTCCTAATCACATATAGAAGAGTGTCATAATTAGAAAATACCAGACGAAGAGATACCCTAAACACTGAGCAGCACTGCTGTGCAAATAATTATAAAAAAGTATAGATCTATGTAGAAATGCAGATTAAACTACTTGGCTCCACTATTAGAGTTTCTTTTAGTTTTACGAAGAAGGTTTCTAAAATCATAAATATACCTACCAAATCATATCATTCACTTCAAGTATCAAAAAATTGGCCAATCTTGGACTTTAATGGTCCTCATGAATATCACTTAAAATAACGGTACAATGAGAAACTCGTCTATCTTATGTTATGGAATGCTTTTGACTTAAATAACCTGCAGAGTTATTAAATAAACATCCTCTATTGGAAAAGAAATATTGCTTAACCAATGTTGACCGTATTCTTCAAGCTCTAAGCTACTTCAGACCTCGAGAATTCCCTCTAGCTAAAAAGAAAATAGCTAATGTTGATGTAAAAGCGAAACCTCAGGCTATAAAAATATTCTCTAAAAGTTGTATAACGGCTATATTCGTTCATCGCTATATTGGTTGTATATAACGAGAATTACATATATTTAAAATCAAATTTTGCCAAAAAATTGTTATTCTACGCTTGACCAAACTGTTACAATACTGAAAGTTCTGAACTCTGTAGTCAAAGGCCTCAACTCTTTGAGCTAATGGTCAAATAGTCCATAGTAAGAAGAGGAAATCTCTTGGTGCATTTATGTGTTAATACCAATAAATCGAAACTATTTACATTTTCTGCTCTTAGCCTTAACTCTACATGAATTTATATTTTATATACTATCTGGCTAAATCTATAGTTCTTCCACTCCAGCTAATTCCTCTATAGGCGTAATTAGTTACAAAATCTTTAATTCTTGAGTGTATTATAGAATTGAATATAAAATTAAGTTCACAAAAAAATATACATTTATAAAATACTTGAACCATTTAACCATGAATTTCCCAGGGAAAGTTCAACGGTTTTTGATTGTAATCTCATTTATCTTTTTTTTTCAAATATAAACTTCATTTCAACTTACTTATAACATCATTATACAATAAAAAAATAAACTCGGTTATGGCCCAACCGTAGGACGTTGAACAAAAAAATTTTATTAAGTTCTCTGACTTTCAATGACATAATGAGGAAAAACTAGTGCGAAACTAAAGATGACAGAGCCGATACAACAATAGGGTAACAACAACAAAACCAAGAAGCACCAAGAAATTGTAGACTCGATTGCCAAACGAGAACGGGTGTCCGGCGTTGCACGGCATTGCTGTTTGTTGCTCTTAGCGGTAAATCGAGAAGCAGCCAGACAGCCAGACAACGCAACCAACTAGAGAGCCAACATCAGCAGAGGCAATAAAGTGAATGCAAAAAGTCAGGCGAGCTTCTTAAATTAATAGGCGAAAGACACGCCGTTGGTTCTGCTTCTCGGTTCGAGCGCGGCTGGAAAGCCCCTTGTATGGTCGCTTGAGTGGAACCATCAGCTATATAGAATAACTGTGTGTGTGGCGTGTTCCACTTAGCTCTGAGGGCAGCCGGCAACAGGTTGTCGAATTTCGAAAGGTTCTCTCTCCTGCTATGTCGGAAAAATGTTTGTGTTTCTTTTCTTCTCTCTTTTTTTTTTTTTTTTGCATGAAAACATATGACAAGTTGGTCAATGCTCAGATCAATAGACAAAGGGGACCTAGCCGGCGGCCTACCGACTGCCCCTTCGACACTTAGCTCTGGGCTAGTTCCTGCTTGAGTTCCCGTCGAGCTCAACAAATGAACTTTTACCAATTGTGTCACGACTTTCAGCTTGCATAAATTTCCAAGCTCCTCTGCCCAGAGCCAGAGGGAGGCCGTCCCCTTACGCCGTCGACTTCGTCGCTTGTGTGTGGGCAACGAGGGCAGTTTATAGCTTTTGGCTTATGCTTTATAGTGCTGCTGGCCATTCGGTATTCTATTTCTTGTTCCTCGCTTTGTGGTAATCCGCGCGTGATTCAGAGGTGCCGTGCATACATTTATGTTTATATGATTTACACGCTGGCGCGTTGGTGTCAAGAGAGCCGGCGAACAAGGCGATAGGCGGATAGACAGACAGACAGGCAGACGGACGGATAGACAGTCAGCTGAAGCATGTAGGCAAGTAGATGCTGCTTATTGAGTAGCCAACACGTTTTTCAGCCAGGTAATTGTCAGCGGGCCATCGGCCATGGCGGCAACATCGACCACATCGTGTGGGCTGGCCTGCCGATATCGTGCCAGGTACTGCAGTCAGTCCCCCAGCCCCATAAATTATAGCCTACATTAGCACCGGGCACATCTCCCAAATTGAACACCAAGCATGTCCAATTCAGGTATTCCTTATCCTGATAAACCCGCTTGGCCTAAGCAACGAAAATTAATTTCAAACACTTTTCATTGCTTTTAATACTCGCTCAAGATGTTAAGAGAGTATATTAGTTTTGCGCAATTGTCTTGTGGAAATGCAAACTATTACGATGCCATTGAAGATGGAGTCATGAAGTGGGGAATACACACTCGATCTCTTCTTATACGCTGTACAAATTTAAGGGCTTCAGGAAATATTTATTATGCATAATAAAATATTAATACTAATAAGGGACTACAAAATAATATATAATAGCAATATAGTCCAATATAGTCCTAATGACAAGCTTTTTTTCATTTTTTTTATACAAAGTTCAGTTATATTTTGTTTTAGAGCGAATAGAACTTCAAAATGAAGCTCGAATAATATAGAAAATATTCAATATTAACAGAGAACAGAGTGTTGACAACTAATCGTACATATATCTTGGACCCATTTAAAGCTAAATCTCCTATAGTTAATGGATATTTTATAGGAGCTCAAGAGATTTACTAAAAATTACCCATGTAACTTTGACAATACGACTTTCACAGCTCTAACTCTAAAATCGATTAAATTAGCAAGGTGACGGCTTTTGACCTGTTTCCCAGATAGACCTGCATGGTCTTCATTTTACAGCGCTACTTAATATATCGATTGACTTGAGTGCGTTGTTGAGCGAGCATTACACAGTCAGTTGTGTCCAGCTGGAGCGTTCTCACTTGCTTAGGGATTGTATTAGTCATTGCTTTCGGCCATTAGCAGAAAATTAATTTGCACTCAGGCAAATCAGGTCGCCTTAATGTAGCAATCAGGGCAACAACCCTAAAAGCCTGCCTCTTAATCAAATGCCAAGTGCCGAATCTGCTGGGCCTCTGTACAAAGGGTAACTTTAGTAACTAATGAAAAGTCGCCTTTCCGCGAAAATTAGGTCAGCAAAGAGGAAAAGCAGGCGGGCAAACAGGAAATTTACATCAATTTGTCGGTCTGGTGCGGAATCAAATGGCAAAACGTGTCGCGGTCACCGACTCACACTTCGACTCCGACTCCAACTCCGACTCGGTCTCGAACTCGGACTTAGACTCCATTTTATTACTCGTATATACCCTCGAAAATGGAGCGATGCCCCTGCCTAGCAGGTAAAGCGATTTATTGATTTTCGCCAGAATCGTGGCCTGTTCGTTGTTTGGCTACAGTTGGCAACGCGACTTGGCCATTGTTGACGCCTCTCAGCCCAGCTAGCCCAACTGCTATTGCACTTGTTGCCATGGTGAGGTGCACAAAACTTTTTAGGCCACAACAGTAAACAACAACATCAAGCAACAACAACAACAATCGACACAGCAACAGTGCAGCCAAATTTGCTTGGAAAACTTCGTGTAAATTGGGCTCAGTGGAAAACGTCCGCTTGCGGTTATTTGCCAAAGCACTTAAAGGCTCAAAGGGCAAGCTCTAATGTGCAGCAGCTGCTTGACAAAAGCTGCTCGTAATTGAGTTACATAGCAGCGAACTAAATCACTTACAAGTTGATCTTATCTTATGCATATACTTGTGCAATGTTGCCAAACTTCACAATGCGAAAATGCCTCCTGAGGGGGAAACTCTAGCTGAGCTGTTGACAACAACAAATCCCTAATCTCTGTTTTTATGTTCACTCACTTCATGTTCATAATAAAATTACTTGAATGCATTTCAAACATGCTAGAAAATTACTTAATTTTCAGTTACGCCACCAATAATAATGAATGGATAGTTATAGTCGCAT